CAAGGTTGACACTCCAGCGTACACTCCCCTCACGAGGGGATGGACCCCACGACAATAAAAAAATCTTGGGGTTTTCCATGTGAAGGGAGTGTCAATCGGAGTGTCAACCTCAGTGTACGTGTAGCAAAACTCACTTATTTACTTGTTTTCGTGGGATCTGATATTGTACTGTCTTCTTCTTTTGCTTTCTCTGCACCTTTTGTGAAGTTAGATTTTATTTGGATCGTAAAAGTAAATGTGTCAGCTACATTCAGGCTTGGTCTGGGATGTTTTGGACCACATCTTATTCAGTGATAGAGCAACTTGAATTTTAAATAAATGCACAAGTAGTGGGAAGAAGCTGTGTTCCGGATTAAAACTCATTGCCCTTTGACATTGTTGTTCATGAAATTATAAAAAAAACGGAAGGTTAAATGTGCTGTTGTTTATCTCATTTTTTATTATTTGTTGCTGTTGTTCAGCATTATTATTTGTAATCATCTTCAACCGCTTAGGATGTCAAAAGCTTAACCAGTTAGATCTTATATAGACTTACTAGAATACATTCTCCATTCTGTGTGCTCTCTTTTCTTCCTCTTCTATAAATCAATTTTTGTAAGCTCTTCATTTGTGATGTTGTTCAACTTTCTTACTATTTTAGAATGGTTTCTTTGTAAATCTCTTCCTAATCTTGTGTGTTCTAAGTTATTCTTTTGCCGCTTTTTAATCCCAAGTATCTTCTGTGCCTTATAAGTTAGTTTCTTCTGTTATGTTTGTGTACCTTCTTGCTTGACGGTATGTGACTAAAATGTATGTTCCAAACTTTTTGAAAAACTTAATACTTATCTTTATGCATTGTCCTGCCCACGGTTAAACACCCAATCTAGATATTAGGATCATAGGATTTTATGATCTCATAATTTTAAAAATGATCAGATCCTTTTATAGGATCTTAAATTTTAGAATATTAAAATCTCGTTGCTTGATTAGAATGACCCTAACAATCTTTCATTTCTTTATCATTATTGACTTTCAGCTTTATTTCAATGAACTAAGCAAGGTGGGTTGTTGAACACTTGAGCTATTTTCTTTTTGAATTAAAACGCAAATCAAACTAAATAGAGAGAGAAGGAAGCAATAACAAAATGACAAAAAAAAACCTTAGAATCCTTAACACGAAATCTGTTATCTCTCATTCTCTGTTGCCTCTTGTGGAAATTGATAGTTTCATTCATTCGTTCGTTCATGATATTTTTGAACTCTCTTCTTTCTACATGTTCTTCGATTACTTGTTAAGATAGCTCATTTGCATTTTGCTTTTTAATTTATATGTATTCTACTTTTTTTGTATTTTGGATTGAATTTCCAATTAGCTTGTTGGAAATCAATCGTAGAAGCAGAATTTGTTCTCTGGACTCATAATGTTGTTATTGTTAATCAGATTTATGTTTACGTGCAATTTATCCAAGGTGATTGGTTTCATAATTTTGTCATATTAAAAAATAATCTCAGTTAAATATAATTATAAATGTATAATTTGATTTCGGAATTTGGTTATGCATTTAATGAAGTTTTTATGTCTATTTGATTTTATTCGACTTTCGGTGCATTCAAAATTCAATTGTGAAGCTTTATAAAGTAGTTGCAACCTTGATTTTATTGTTTGATTTTAGTTAGTTATAATTGTTATTAAGATATTTGATATTTGTCGATGTTTGATATTTTAAATAATTAATAATATCTTATGATCCTCAATCTGATCCGCAAGACCCCTCCTCTGTTTTGATTAAAAATTACAATCCTGACAACCTTGGTCCTGCCATTTGCAAACTAAACCTGCTGAAAATTTGATAATTGCAACAATGTTTCGATCATTCATTTTAGTGTTACTGAAGTTGTTTCCTAGTGCTCAAACATTGTTAATCGTATTTTCCACTGTTGCAGGCAGGAAAAGTTTCCAAAGCTTTGGAAGTCTGTGACATGATGAAACTGTCAGGCATAAAGCATAACATGAAGACATACTCCATGTTGATCAACGGATTTATACAATTGAAAGATTTTGCTAACGCTTTCTCAATCTTTGAAGACGTAATAAGAGATGGTCTCAAGCCAGATGTTGTGCTTTACAATAACATTATAAGGGCATTTTGCAGTATGGGTAATGTTGACCGTGCTATTCGTACTGTTGAGGAAATGAGGAAGGAGAGGCACCACCCTACTTCAAGGACATTTATGCCTATTATTCATGCTTTTGCAAAAGCTGGAGAAACAAGAAAGGCACTCAATATGTTCAATATGATGAGGAGAAGCGGATGTATTCCAACTGTGCACACGTTTAATGCTCTGATTCTTGGCCTTGTTGAAAAGCGTCAGGTACATACTTAACATAAAGATTGAGTACAAGTTTTGGATTTTGCTGACACTTGATTAGATGCTCATATGCATGCTCTTTTTGGGTATTAATAGCCGTCACAAGATGAAGCATGAATATGGACGTAGGCAGATGCCACTTCGTGACAGTGTGCCTTTTTTTTATTAAGTTAGATAGTAGACACATGGGAGATATGTCAATTGAAATACTTAGAATTATACACTTTGATTTTGAATTTCGTGTGTTAATTTTTTTGAATTTGAGTGACTGTGTTCTGTTAAGATAACTTTGCGTTGTATTGTGTATTATTAGTCGCAATGGAATAAAAATATACACATATAAAGAAACATAAAGTGGATAATATGCCTCCACAAAATATACAGATTCCAAAATCAATACTGTAATTAAGCAATCGTTTCTGCCCCGATTAGGAAAGGGCCGGGGAAACTTTCTAGTTATAATTTTCCTGGATTGGGCTCCATTTTAATTTAGTGCATTTTTCTCTTTCTTCATTTTCATATGTACATTCTTTAATAAAATAATATTACGCGTAAACCTAAAACTTTTCCTTATTTTTTAACTATACATTCTTCAAAAATTACTATTTCAAAACACATTTTTCCCAAAACCTCTTTAAAATGGATCCCAAACAAAGGCTCTATAAACTCCACATGAAGTTCATATGTTCTTTTTGCTTTTGACTGTTTATGCTGCTAAAACTTTCGCCAATTTCGACATTTATTGGGGCTTTTCCCATCCTTGACATGTTGGGGCCGAGTATATTGCATGTCAGACTATATGAAATATAAAATGACCAGCTCGTTCTTTACTAGGCATCCAGACGAAAAATATAGGACTAACCAAGAGTCATGCCACACACTTGTTTTAGGCATGCCAGACTTGCCCAAGGCATGTTGGGGTTGTGTTCTTCACAGGTGAAAACTTTAAATAGTATAAAAAAGATATTACATTCCACGGGGCACACAAGACACGTGTATTGATGTGTCCAGGGCATGTGGGACACCAATACTTTAGGTGAAGTGTACATGCTTCACTGCAGTCACTTGCACGAAACATGGTCTTCATAACAGCTAGGCATGCATAGTTAGTAGTAGAAGATTGGGTATGAAATATGTGCATACTTAATGCTGAGCCTGCCTGAATCCTTGGGTGCCTCTTTGCAAAAGTACTTCTTTCTCTGGCTTCTATGAGAGCAAAGCAAACTTATTAATTGATTTAATTTGGCGAAGTCTTGTATAGATTTTAATATAACATGGCATTGATTTAGACTGCCATTTAGTGTTGCTGAAGATCATAAAATTTCCGTTCCTTTTTTTTTGCCTCCCTGCCATTGAAGTAAAGAACTATTTTTCTGGTTTATGAGATTTTCTCTATGATAGTTCTTGTAGAGTTTAATATCGCTATATGCTTATTGGCTCTTGTACCTGGTCAATTTATTGTATTTACAGTTCTGATGGCAAAAATTGAACTGTTCAACAATTTATATATTGAGATGTTGATACTGTTCAGTCATTCGTTTCGTCTTTCTTTGCTTACAGATGGAGAAGGCTGTGGAGATTTTGGATGAGATGTTGCTCGCAGGCATTAGTCCCAATGAGCACACATATACAACCATTATGCACGGTTATGCATCACTGGGTGATACTGGAAAAGCGTTTGAATATTTTTCGAAAATTAAAAGTGATGGGCTTGAACTCGACGTGTATACCTATGAGGCATTACTCAAGGCATGCTGTAAATCCGGAAGGATGCAAAGTGCTTTAGCTGTGACAAGAGAGATGAATGCTCAAAATATTCCTCGAAACACTTTTATCTACAACATATTGATTGATGGGTATGGATTTGGCTATATTTTAATCTATGTGCTTTAGCACGTGCATGTTTGCCTAAGCTTAAAATAAGAGAAGAAATTTTTACTTACAAACATGCGTATATAGGTACCTTTTCCTTTAGTTTTAAGTCAAAATACATTCCTGTCAAAATAATTAACTTATTTTCAATTTTTATCAATGAAAGAATCACTTATTTTACAACTAACTTATTTACTTCTAAGTGAACTTTTAATCTTAGCCAAATCTGCTCCTTATTTTCACTTTCTTTGCTTTTGCTACAACACTTCGCTCACTGCCAATCAGTGCAGAGGTTTTGATACATTCCTCGCATTCTTGGTTCTTTCTTTTCGTGCAGATGGGCTCGTAGAGGTGACATTTGGGAAGCTGCGGACTTGATGCAGCAAATGAGACAAGAAGGGGTTCAACCAGACATCCATACTTACACATCTTTTATAAATGCTTGTTGTAAAGCTGGGGATATGCTGGTAAGGACTATGTAACATTTTGGTGTTTACACTTCCATTGCTGTTAAATCATGTTTCCGATGGATATGTTTAAAATTTATTTAGTCGATGGTTTTTATTTACTTTGAATTAAAAGTGCTGATTATATTTCGTTGGACATTCCCTATGCTACTGTTCTTGAGATAAAATCATGTTTTTTATTGCTTAAAATATTATTCATATCGGCCCTGGGGTATGTTTGGTATGCAGAACGGGATTGGATGGAACAATAGACAATAGCATTTTTTTTTCTTTCCTTCTTTAATACTGTCTACTAGACTTCTAATGTTGAGTCCATTTTCATCTTATGAAAATATGCCATATAGTGGAGGTTGGTCGAGTGTATGATTTTCTTATCCGCGTTATTTCTCTTGTTGTGCTTTGAAATGGACTTGCATACCTTTTTCCTCTAGTGGTTGTGACTGACTTCATATTTCCCTGGACATTTATTCTCAAGTTTTTTTAAAATTATATTTTGTTTGCAGAGAGCAATGAAAACAGTTCAAGAGATGGAAGCACTAGGAGTGAAGCCTAATCTGAAAACCTATACAACGCTTATTCACGGGTGGGCTAGAGCATCTCTTCCCGAGAAGGCTTTGAAATGCTTTGAAGAGATGAAGCTGGCTCGTGTAAAGCCAGACAAGGCAGTATACCATTGCTTGATTACCTCATTGTTATCCCGAGCTACTGTTGCCGAAGATTATATTTACACAGGAATCGTGCGCATATGTGAAGAGATGGTGGAATGTGGTTTAACGGTTGACATGGGAACTGCAGTTCACTGGTCGAAGTGCTTGCGCAAGATTGAAAGGACAGGTGGCGGGATCACAGAAGCCCTTCAGAAGACTTTCCCTTCCGACTGGAATTCGCACAAAACTCTTAATGCTATTTCTGATATTTCTTACAATGATGATTCATTGGACGAGAACGATTATAACGATCGTTCTTTTTATAATAGTGATGCTGATTATGAGGATGACACAAACTTAGATGTAAGGATATGATATTGATTTAATAAATTGGGTGCTTATCGATTCGAGCAATTGTTGATGGTCTACTAACAAGATGGTAACTACCAGGTATTCATTCCTTGTCTCCATCTTTAGCCGTATAATTAGTCCATCAAGATTATGCAGGATTGTCTCAATATCTCTTATTTTTTCATGTTGTGAAATTTATGTGTAACTCTAGTTGTTTGAGCATGTTCAGCTAAGAAGGATAAGCTAGAATTTGATGCACAAGTGATTCTGGTCAATAGAAATTAAGGTCCCATGTATGCTGAATTGCTGCAGTTATTTATAATTATTTATTTGGAGAACATGCATAAATATGTAATGAAGTAGACGAAGAAACTTTCACCTCTTTGGGGAACCAGAAAGGACAAGATTTAAGCCATTGACTTCTACAATATGCAATATATTCTAATATGAGTAAAATTTCTGAGGATAGTTATTTATATTAAAATCTATTCTTAGCTTTAATTTATTCTTTTAAATAAAAATTGAAAAATGTTGGTCTCTGACTAATAGTTTCGAATATAACTATCTAGCGGTGCTGGAATACCTGTCTATGTGGCATTATTTGATAGTTTCAATTAAAATATTATGTGATAATATTATGTGATTTATTTATCCCTAAGTGCTATTGAAGACCTCCATGGCTATTCCCATATTTTTAAATGCTTTAAACTTTCACCAAATCTTGATTGAGTTATTGTTTAAATTCTGATTTGATGTAGGGGTAACTTATTCAATTATTAAAATTAATTGTTAACTTTGATTTAGATTAAAATTTAAATTTTAATCCGTATCAAATAGGGGCTTAATTGTGTCTTTCATTTAGGTCCCGTTTGATTCTCATTTTTTTTCAAAATGTATTTTTCTCTCTTTTCTTTTCAATCACACTCTTTATTAAAATAATATTATGGGGGGTGTTTGAGCCACATTATTTTAGTAATAATACATTCTTGAATAATGTACTGATAGAAAATGTGTGGTTAAAAAATAAGGAAAAGTTTTTAATTTGCGTGTAATATTATTTTATCGAAGAATGTGTGGTTAAAATTATGTCAAATCATTGTTTAAGAATGCATTTTTTTAGAATAATGTGGCTCAAACAGGCCCTATATGTAAATCAAAAACTTTTCATCCACACATTCTTCATCAATCTACTATTTTAAAATTCATTTTTCCTTAAAAATGGGTGTCAAACACCCTCTTGATAATATTTAGTGCTATCTAGACTAGTGTTGTTACACTAATAGTGTTAAATAGCGTTACTCAATAATTTCTTCTAAGTTAGATAATATACATTATCCCCTTAATGAACTCTTCTTCTATTGACAGAGGTTGAAGAAACTTATATGATCATCTTGAATTCTTCTTAGGTTTCGTAATCTTATTGTTTATTAGAGTTAAATGTTAATACGTAATTAAGAGATAATTATAATGATGGAAGGTGAAGGTAGCAAGTGCCTAATCTGTAGACGATTACCACAAATTACAAGTGAAGGTAGATAGGAGACAAAACAGTTCATATACGCATATTTTCTTTTTTCAAAAATCAATGTGATAATCTAAATTCTCAAGGATCCAACAAAAATTGTCAACCCTATAAACAAAGTAGGCAATATTCTTTTTACCCAAAAAAAATTAAAATATTCAAAACGTTAAATATAGGTTTTAAGAAAACATGTCTAAACTTCTTGAATTAAGGAATGAATGTTTGTTTCCGCCACTAGATGAAAAAATTAAGGAAATAAATCTAGAGTTGAGGGAAACTTAGGTGCGTTTATGTTTTGAAAGATTATTTTAAGATTCCAGAAAAGGCGTTTGGCTTGTTATTTTGAAAAACTTTTTCACAAAACAAAATACTAGAAAACACGTTTTGTTTAAAATTTTTAGAAATAATTTTATGACTTTTTTCAATTAATTTGACAATATAGTAAAACATATCAATTTTATGCTAATATGTGATAAAAAACCATAAATTTTAAAGTTGATAAAAAAAAAAAAAAGTAATCATTGTGATTATATCTCAACAATCGCATCGAAATCATCCGTAAATAATAAATTAAAAGAAAGGGGGGGAGAGAGAGAGATGGATATTTGTATTTAGGTAGATTTTGTGTGATTTTATTAATTATTTTAATTTGAGAAAATTTTAAGTTTATTTTCCTTGTTTTGAGTTTTTTTAGTATTTTCAATCAAGACGTCATAAAGTCATTTTGAGTTTTATATTATGAAATTTTCCTTATTTTCGAAAGCGCATTTTTTAAAATAATACATGTTTTAAGTGTTTTAGAAAATTAAAAATGACATCAAAATGATAAACCAAACGCATTCTTACCTCTTCTTTTCTTGGAGGATTGTATTGTAAATATTGTTAATTGCATTGATTAAGAACATGAGGTGCAGAGAAGAATTATGCTGCTTACACAGGGTCAATGACAAGGGCTTTTTAGTCCTTGCATGGGGTTTTTCTTACTGTCCAATGAAATGCTATCACGTATCCTTCTATTTTTTAACTCGGTCACTAATCCTATCCATGTAATATGGTTGGTGCAAAGAAGTTTTAATTTGACACCAAAAATATTAATTTTAGAGAGAGTATTAGAAAACGATATACACCATTGTTCGTGATATGTTTAGTAGTAAAGAGAAGTCGTGAGGGTGAGAAAAACGTTATACTAAAATATTAATTCGATTTAAAATAGCATAAATATATATTATAGCAAAAAGACGAGACAAAAATGGTAGAAATGTTATAAAAATATATATATATTTGTGATTGATCATCGTGTCATCTATATCTGGACACAAGGAAGTAGGGGACCTTTTTCTTCACCTTTTGTTGATGAGTTGCTATTCACATTACTTCCTACAATAGAAGTTAGTGTTAACAAGTTATCTATACTCAGGCCACATAAATGAAGTTTGAACAATTTCAGTAATAGTAGACATAACTCTTTCAACAAACTTTGTGCTTATTAACCATATAAAATTGATTGTCTAACCAAAATAATGAGATGATTTAATAAATTTAGCCATGTTTGGTTAATATAAAAATTATTTTTTTAGTAGATTTTTATAGAAATTGAGAGAGCGTGTAGTCGAAAAATTGTATGTCCTATAAAATGTGTAATTAAAATAAATTATTGACTTTGACTTAGATTTAATCGAATATTTTAGCTAAACCAAAATGCAGCGGCACATGTTTTCTTTCTACAAATAAAAAAATAATAATAATAATAAATGAATAAATAAATAAAGCCCTTTTGCTTCAACTCAATTATTTCAACAGTAGGTAGGCTTGCCCTTGACTATTATTGTTATTACATGTGTGTGGCAGTTGGTTTGCACTTAAATTTGTACTATTACAACATGAGCACATAGTATCAACAAATATTTCACACATTATTTTTTGTATTTATGTTTGATCATATGTTCAATCTAATTAATGTAGCTCACAGAAGATATTAAATTTTGGAGCATGATGGATAAACATTTTGCATGTCACTATTTCTTAATTCTAGTCAGTTCTATCTATTTTAACAATAGAAAAAATCTTAACTTAAGAAGCATTATTCACTTTTTTAAAAAATAATAAGAACCATGCTAGAGTAACAGGGGGGTTGACCACCCCCCTGACAAAACCCCACCAATATGGCCTCACCCCCCTATTGGTGGGGTTCTGTCATGGAGGCGATCAACTCCCTTGTTACACCAGCAATTTTCAAATAATATGCATGTCACAACAAAGGAAAGATTTAGACATTAATTAAGGCTTTTTTTTTTTGTGAATAATATTTCTCCACAAAAATTAAAAGTGAGTTATTTTCACCATAAAATTAAGTATTTCGCCCTTCATTATTTCTTAATTATATTCAGTCATATCTAATGCATGGTTAATGCATAAAAAAGATTTAGACATTGTGTGGCTTGCATTTATTTTCTTAAAGAAAATGTTGGCATATGACCCTTTCTTTATCATATTGTCTCATATTCAATCTAACATGCTCGTAGAACATCAAAAAGATTTAGACATTGAGACACTTATTTTCTTAAAGACATCGTCAATTCAAAAATTTTAGACAAGTTATTTCTATGATACAAACAAAATGTCTGGACTCTTCATAACAAATTCTCCATAACAAATTTTAAAGAACTATTTCTAAATGTTCAATGTCGAATCATATATAATTTAAATATTTATTTATGTAGCCATTCAATTAACATGCTATACTCACATAAGATATATTCAAATACCAAATTTTTGGTTATTTATAGTATCAATATGATATATGGTAGAAAAAGGTGATTTCATAGAGTCAACTTGATTAGTATATGTGAACTATTCAATTAATAGACAATTTCAATTATTGCCAGCAAATCATGTACCCTTAGCTAATAAAGTATGTTTAGACAAACAAAAATAATTGTTAGATATTTGTTCTTAGTTTTCTTGTCCTTTCTTTATTTTCCTCTTTTTTTCTTTCTTTTTTTTTTGATAAAAAATTTTGGCCGTATCAGAGCACCTTACTAATTTTCTATGCGCAATCCATTTCATAATAATTATTGTGGCATTGTAGCACGATAGTGAAAGGGCCCCAACCAAATTCAAAGCCCATATTCAGCACTCGACAAAAGAAAACAGTTATTTGATAATGAAGCAAGTCATATTGCTTAGAAGAACTTGGTGAATTCCTTCCATCAAACAGAGATTTGATTATACAATCGACAAATTGTTCAGTCTACTGTACAAAACAAATAATCAGCGGAGAAAATGCATCAAAGATTAGGGGAAGTATACCATAACCCTAGTAAAGAGATGTCACCTCAGCTTGATCAAACATTCATACCTCTTAAATAGTTTGGCAAGGGCAAGTGTGCTTGCATTTAATATCCCACATGATATTTGCCTCTTTTCTTGCCTATGTTGGAATTTTGCCCCAATGGACATACAATCATCTGCTTCTGGGGTGCCAACTTGTCCTTCACATATTACTGCGCCACAGTAATCAAATCAGATGGTCAGAAATGTTTACATCTAAAGACTGGTGCTATCGATCGAGAGAGAAATTTACTTCTTCATTTTGGAAAATTGTAGGGATGGGATTTTTTTTTTTTTTTTTTTTTTGGGTGATTGATTTATACCTGCACGTTCATTTTTCTTAGACTGGATGTATCAAAAAATGATGCACTCAAATAATTATTGCCAATTTCGAAAGAGATTTTGTCAGGGATAATGCTGTAATTTATGATTTCATAGGAATAAATGATAATTTATTTTGGAAAAAGTCATTTGTACACCATGATGTACAATCCCCTCACATATTGACGGACCCACATGAACTAAATATTTGTGGGTCCCCTTATTGTGAGGGGGATGTAAATGTGTACAGCTTTTAAAGCCATACACCAAGCAAAGTTTATTTATTTTTATTATCATCTAACATTAATCAATTTATTGTACTAAATATGTCATACACTACTATAGACTCTTCATGATAAGTACTATAATCCTCGTGAAAATTTATAGTGACCATTGTAACAGATAAAAAACCCTGTTATTTTATAATTTTTTTTTTTTTGGAAAAACAGTGTATTTATATTTTGTTCTAACCAATGTCACATGTCTAGTTTCTCAGAACCAACAAGAAAGAATTATTGTAATAGACTATAACATAAAAATCTTCAGTGTAGTTTGTGTAGATATTGTAATAATTCAGACATGAATTATACTAATGAATTATAAGGGGAAAAAAATAGATTATTGGATTCTTATCAAACAATGGGAAATTGCATTTAGCAGTCTGGCCACATTAAAAAATAGTAATGTTATTTGCAGTCGTTCACTTTCACATGTGATGATTAGTGATTTGATGTATTAATATGATAATTTTTAATTACCTTATGCATCAAATCATTAACCGTCACATGTAGGTCACATAGGTGACTACGATAATAAGTAAGAAGCATTATTCAAAAAAATACTGCTGCTTCCAATTGTTATGAGCTTGCATTTATATTGATTTAATAT